TTACATATACTTAAGGCCCGGCATGCATAGAAAAATAACATTACTGGATGCAATGGAATTTAGCACCTCTGGCCAGGCTGCAGGTCTCAGCTCTTGGAGAAAAACAGCTGGAGCAAACAGTTCCACCCCAGGGTTTCTTGTGAAACAGTCCCAGGCAGATTACAAACGGCAGTTGCTGTTCGCAGGAAATCAAACCGTGACACGCTTAGGTGGAGGGAGAAATATTACGTGTTATCCAAGCCCATATGTCCCTCCGTCCATCCAAGATGTCTGTCAATGTGGGAAGAATTAGGATCTATAAGCCTCGGTTGGATATGACTCACTAAAGGAAATGTTCAGCAGATGTGTGCAAGAGGAACAGGTTACTTACAAATGGTCAGGAAAGGATAGAAATGTGTTTAGATGCAGGGCTGGGTGTCGTTTTTTATCTTCTATTCTTCTCACAATTAAAAATGTACTTTCACTTGCCACTTGATTCATAATGTCTTACTAACACTGGGTTGGACCAAACTGCCTTCAAAGCTGCTCTAATCCTTTGTCATCGATTCTACAAGGTGATGTCAATCAATCAATCAGTCAATCAACTTTATTTATACACTTAATCCTACAATACATGCAACTCAAAGTGCTGAACACGTTAAAAAGGCCCCGCATACCCATGAAAACATTCCTCAGAGGTTCTGGTCCATATTTACATGACAGCATAACACAAATGCTACAGAGAGGTTGGCTGCACATCCATGATGTGAAGCTCCTGTTCTGGACTGGATTGAGATCTGGAGATGGTGGAGGTCTTTGAACTTTGATCTGACCTTTGTGACATGGTGCTTTATCCTGCTGGAAGTAGCCATCAGAAGATGGGTCCATGTGGTCATAAAGGGAAGGACATGGTCAGCAACAATACTCAGGTAGGCTGTGGTGTTTAAACCAGGCTCAGGTGGTACTAAGGGGTCCAAAGTGGGGCTAGAACATCTCCCCCACACCCTTACACCGCCTGCAGCAGTCTGAAGCATCGATACGAGGCAGGATGGATCCGTGCTTTCATGTTGGTGACACCAGATTCTGACCCGACCATTAGAGTGTTGCTGCTGAGATGCAGACCCATCAGACCAGGAAACATTTTCCCGTCTCAGTGTGAGTTGTGGCCTCTGGTTCCTTTTCTTAGCTGACAGCAGGGACACCTGGTGTGGTCTTCTGCTGCTGGAATCCATCTGCTTCAAGCTTCAACATGTTGAGGTTCAGAGACGCTGTTCTGTAGACTTTGGTAGGTTGGAGCTGCTGTTGTCTTTCCATCACCTAGAACCAGTCTGACCACTCTCCTCTGACCTCTGATCTGAACAAGATATTTTTATCCACACAACTGCTGCTCGGTGGATAGTTTCTGTTTTCACACCATCGTCTGTAAATCCTAAAGATGGATGTAGATATCCCGACTGGCCCATCTCACACCAACACCCGTGCCACTCTGAATGTGCCAAAAAATCTTCCCCATTCTGATGCTCAGCTTGAATTTCATCAAGTCATCTTCCCCACATTAAGATCTTCAAATGCAGTCAGGTGTTGCCTGGTGATTGGCTGATTAGATATTTGTGATAACAACCGGTTCAGCAGGTTTATCTAATAAAGTTGCCACTGATTATTGTGGCTTGGTAAAAATCTGCGTGCTAACAAAGTGTTTATCTTGTATTTAGTTGCAGCAGTGAGCTGAAGCTGGTTCGACTGAAATCATCAGAAGGTGGCATTTATACTTTTAAAGCCTCCAACAGCGACGCATCAGCAAATCAGACATTCACCATCTTTGTGATCAGTAAGTTGCTGTTGACTTAGTGAAACAGTTTTCTGTTCATCGCTACTTTTTTGTTATTTGTTAGTAGCTTTTATGGAGGAATTGCCCTTTTCTGTACGTGAAATGAACCCAACCCTCCATGTTTACTGATGGGCTGCACGGTGGAGCAGCACTGTTGTCTCGCAGAAAGAAGGTCTTTCTGCACAGAGTTTGCATGTTCTCTCCATGCATGTTTGGGACTTCTTTGGGCGCACGTCAGATACTTATAAGCTGCTTTGGATGAAAGCATCCAACAAATGAATAAACGTATTCCTCATGATGTGTAATGCCCTCCCACAATGTGTGTAGATTGAAATTCCACAACTCTTTTTGATGTCACCTTTTGTTCACCAGGTAAGCCTGAGATTGTATCTCATGAGGGCCCAGTGGATGGACAGGTGCGCTGTGTGGCGGAAGGTTTCCCTGCCCCTCAGATCAAATGGTACTACTGTGAGCAGTACATCAGGTAAGGCTTTTATCTGTTTTCAAAACCTGCATGAAAGTAAAACTTACCATTAAACCCAGTGGCATAATTTGATTTGTTTGCATATTTGTTGTCATCTTAGTGGGCGTGGCTAGTTTGAAAGCATAGTGTCAGGCATTGGATCACAGATCAAATTGTCTGATTTGGTTCGGCCAAACCCAACACCCACGGATGTAGTATTAAGGAATAAC